TTGTCCTTTACTCTATCACTACACCCTCACTCAGCATGGAGTACTTGACATACAGGAACAGGAGCACTCTCAGGAATGTCCTTTACTCTATCACTACATCCACACTCGGCATGGAGTACTGGACATACAGGAACAGAAGGACTGGCCAAGATTGTCCTTCAATCTATCTCTACACCCTCACATAGCATGGAGTACTGGGCATACAGGAACAGGAGGACTGGTCAGGATTGTCCTTTTCTCAATCACTACACCCTCACTCAGCATGGAGTACTTGGCATACAGGAACAGGAGGACTGTTCAGGATTGTCCTTTACTCTATCACTACACCCTCACTCAGGATGGAGTACTTGGCATACAGGAACATGAGCACTGTCAGGATTGTCCTTTACTCTATCACTACATCCTCACTCAGCATGGAGTATTTGACATACAAGAACAGGAGGACTGTTCAGGATTTTCCTTTACTCTATCACTACACCCTCACTTAGCATGGAGTACTGGGCATATAGGAACAGAAGGACTGTTCAGGGTTGTCCTTTACTCTATCACTACAGGAGGGAGGGAGGGGAAGAAGGATGGGTAGAAGGATGAGTAGAAGGATGGGTAGAAGGAAGGGAGGGAGGGAGGAGAAGGATGGGTAGAAGGATGAGTAGAAGGATGGGTAGAAGGATGGGTAGAAGGATGGGTAGAAGGAAGGGAGGGAGGGAGGAGAAGGATGGGTAGAAGGATGAGAAGAAGGATGGGTAGAAGGAAGGGAGGGAGGGAGGAGAAGGATGGGTAGAAGGATGGGTAGAAGGATGGGTAGAAGGATGAGTAGCAGGATGGGTAGAAGGAAGGGAGGGAGGGAGGAGAAGGATGGGTAGAAGGATGAGTAGAAGGATGGGTAGAAGGAAGGGAGGGAGGGAGGAGAAGGATGGGTAGAAGGATGGGTAGAAGGATGGGTAGAAGGAAGGGAGGGAGGGGTAGAAGGATGGGTAGAAGGATGGGTAGAAGGATGGGTAGAAGGATGAGTAGAAGGATGGGTAGAAGGATGGGTAGAAGGGAGGGAGGGGTAGAAGGATAGGTAGATGGAAGGGAGGGAGGGAGGAAAAGGATGGGTAAAAGGATGAGTAGAAGGATGGGTAGAAGGATTAGTAGAAGGATGAGTAGAAGGATGGGTAGAAGGATGGGTAGAAGGATGGGTAGAAGGGAGGGAGGGGTAAGAGGATGGGTAGAAGGAAGGGAGGAGCAGGATGGGTAGACGGACATATTGATAGAGAAGAGGGAGGGAAGGAGGGGTAGAAGGAGATATTGATAGAGATGAGGGAGGGAAGGATGGGTAGAAGGAGAAATTGATAGAGAAGAGGGAGGGAAGGAGGGGTAGAAGGAGATATTGATAGAGAAGAGGGAGGGAAGGAGGGGTAGAAGGAGATATTGATAGAGAAGAGGGAGGGAAGGAGGGGTAGAAGGAGATATTGATAGAGAAGAGGGAGGGAGGGAGGGGTAAAAGGATGTGAGGGAGGGGTAGAAGGATGGGTAGAAGGGGATATTGATAGAAAGTAAAGATAAATAGAATGGAGTGATGGGAAGGATGGAGAGAAAGAACAGATGATTGTTGATTGAGAAGGAACAATAGAGGGTATGGATGGATGGATTGAGGATAGGATACACAGAAGGGTAGATGGAGGAGAGGAATAGGATAGGATACAGGGAATAGTAGATTAAGAATAAGGATAGGATAGGATACAGGGAAAGGTAGATGTAGGAGAGGGATAGGTTAGGATACAGGGAAGGGTAGATGTAGGAGAGGGATAGGATAGGATACAGGGAAGGGTAAATGTAGGAGAAGGGATAGGATAGGATACAGGGAAGGTTAGATGGGAGGATAGGGATAGGATAGGATACACGGAAGGGTTGATGAAGGATAGGGATAGGACAGCATACGGGGAGGGTAGATGTAGGATATGGGTAGGATAGGATACAGGGAAGGGTAGATGTAGGAGGGGTAGATGATAGGATTCACAGAATGGGAGATTTAGGATAAGGATAGGATAGGATACAGGGAAGGGTAGATGGAGGATAAGGATAGGATAGGATACAGGGAAATGTAGATGTAGGATAGGGATAGGATAGGACACAGGGAAGTGTAGATAGAGGATAGGGATAGGATAGGGTACAGGGAAGGGTAGATGAGGGATAGGGATATGACAGTATACAGGGAGGGTAGATGAATGATAGGGATAGGACAGTATACAGGGAGGATAAATATAGGATAGGGATAGCTTAGGATACAGGAAAGGGTAGATGAAGGAGGGGGATATGATAGGATTCACAGAAGGGGAGATTTAGGTTAAGGATAGGATAGGATACAGGGAAGGGTAGATGAAGGGTAGTGATAGGATAGGATACAGGGAAGGGTAGATGTAGGAGATGGATATGATAGGATACATGGAAGGGGAGATTTAGGATATGAAAAGGAAAGAATACAGAGAAGGGTAAATGTAGGATAGGGATAGGATAGGATACAGGGAAGGGTAAATGCAGGATAGGGATAAGATAGGATACAGGGAAGGGTTAATGTAAAAAAAGGGATAAGATAGGATACAGGGAAGGGTAAATTTAGGATAGGGATAAAATAGGATACAGGGAAGGGTAAATGTAGGATAGGGATAAGATAGGA